CTCTAAGTAGTGTCCACTCCTGGAGGGCACGGCCGCGTAAGTGACCTGTGAGCTGAATAAGAGTGTCCTGGTCAGTCCATTGATTCCTGTGTGCCGCCCTTTGCAGTGATGGGTACCAGTCATCAAATGTCATCCCTGCTAAAGGGGTCGACAGGGGGGTGCCTTCCCCCTGCGCAGACCCTCGGCGTTGGCAAGTCCATGGCCATGAACCGCCGCTGGACCAGTGATCTTACATCCAGTGGGCTCAGATTTTGTAGCGCTGTCAGAAGCCATACATGACGCTCTCGGCTCAATGGTCCCACCACCTACTACATTGCTACAGACAGGGCTGTGTCCAGTGAAATCTGTTGAAGTACCACGACCGGCAGGCCCAGAAAGCTCTTTCGCCGCGAGCGAGCGAGCTGTGGCAGACACACTCCCGCCGGTGACGCGAGGCTCCAGCCTATGTCTTGTCCCTTCAGGCTCATGGGTATCTGCAACTACAGGGCTCTCTCCAAAGGCATTGTGCCCTGGCGCGGTGTGCGGAGGCTCATGGGCCGCTGCCCCTGATGCTGCTATCCGCCTTTCCAAAGCTGCAACCTCTTCCTCTTTAGTCGTGATTTGTTCGTCATATTCCGCCAACTTCTCACAGTGCAGCCGCCACAATGCACGATTCTTATCTCTCTCTTCCTTTACTTTCACACTCAGTACCTTCACCTCCTCCATGAGGCCAATGTTCTGTTGGTTAGCTGCCTCCAGCTCCATCTCTAGTCCGGTAATCCGCACCTGCGCAGCATCCAGGGCAATCCGCAGCTCTTCCTCGGCTTCCGTCTCGTCGCGCGCGCCGCCCGTCCGCGGCCGCGAGCCGTCGATTACTTCCGTTCCAATTTCGGTTTCCTCCCCAACTTCCTTGTCCCCAGTTTCTTTCCCCGTAGATCCATCTTCTTCGTGCGGATTGTCAGGATGTGTATTGAGGGTGATTACACTCTGTCGGCGTCTCTAATCCTTATGATCGTGCTGCTCTCGGATCCCACCAGGTCCACCTGGACGTTCTGTGGTTCGCGGTCCTCTCTGAGCGATCCTTCCACCATCTGGCGGGCGTCTGCTAGCGGTGCCTTCGGTAGCCCTAGGGCTACTGCTATCCGGTGCACGACTTGGGCCGTGAGTCGCTTCGAGTTGAGCGGGTATGACTTGACCGCACGTGTCTCCTCCTCCGACTCTTCCCCCGACGACATGGCTCCTTATCTGGGTTTAGACGTAGGGAGTTCGACCTGAACGACTTCTCTAGTGAGGGCCAGCCTCGTAAACACTTCTCCTCCAGCGATCGAGCTAGGTCTCGGTTGGACCTCCACTGTAGCGCGCTCAACCCTCAGTTCGAGCTAGATAGGTCAAAAAACTCTCTTATACACGCATGCGCACGCCATACGTAGTGCGCGTGAATATAGGGGTGACGTCGTGAATAGGGGTGACGTAAATACGGGTGACACGGTAATACTATAGTCAGTAGTGCAACAATGAGTCTGCTACACTCCATATGACGCATTTGCACCAATGTTTTATGGCAGTGTGCTATTTTCGCGTTTTTTTACTCTTTTTGAATTTCCCTGTTCCCATTTTTCCCCTTCTCTGCGTTCTAATGTGAAACTCACACCTTTTACATCGATTTCACGTTTGTGTGCTCTTTTCCGCGTATTTTGAATGTTTTTTTAGGTTTTCTTGGTTTCTATTTCCATTTCCGTACGTTTTATCGCTTATTAGGTGGGTACCAATTGGACTTGTGGATGAGCGTTAATTGGAAATGTGTGCTACCGCAAATTTGAATTGTATAAGCATTCGGTTTATCTCGGCATCGTTATCACGTATTTTCTCTCTGCGTTCCGTTTTTTGCGTTCATCTTGTATTTTTGTCACGTTATATCACATATTGCGCACACAGTCATATTTTGTATTTACATGTTCTGCTGCGTATATACACAAATCAGCTTTAGAGCAAATTGTTTTCTAATTTTTACAGCTCATATACGCTTAATTAGGGTGCACGTTAATTGGAAATGTGGGTTGGCACATTGGTATTTTGCATTCATGTCATGTTTTTCACGTATTTTGCGTTGTTTTGACTTATAATTGGCTCATAGACTGCATCTACATATAGGTTATACTGCGCGTCAATGGAAATAAGCGATTTAGACAGCCCTGAGGTGTAGCTGTCTGAGCTGTCGTCCAGGTCCGTCGTCTTCCGCAAGACTCGCTGCATCGTATAGAGAAGGAGCAATGGGTTTGAAGTGGTTGCGGTGAGCTCTCAGCGACAGAGCGAGTTTCTTTGCGCGGAAGCTTGCCACACCCTCATCGAAGACGACATTTTTTGCTTTTGGCTGGCGTCTCCGTGGAAACACACACGGGATTTAGAATCCACGTTTTACGCAATCTGATTGGTCAATTTGAATATGCCGACGTCGAAATTCATATTCCGTATTCGCACGTTCTTCTACGTTATCGCATGTTTGTCATGTTTTTTGCGTCGATCTGCTCTGCTCCACGTATGTCTACGTTAATCCAGATTATTTTCCAACGTTGATATGCGCTTTTGCACGTTTATAGGCATTGGCACCGTTGTTTTGCGTTCATCTGCTGTGTTCCATGTATTTTCTGAGCATTACACATGCAAAATGTTCCACGTTTATCGGTTCATATTCCATATTCTCCTTCTCACTCCTACACTCCGATTCACTCCCTGTTCAGCTACTGGGTACACTTCTGGGGAACCCACCGTCTACTGGAGTGATCCCAATGTGTCAGAACATTTTGTCCCAGTATGGACCCCCCATGCTAGTGATAACACCATTCTTGCGTGTTAATGGAGCCGAGGAGGGTGGAAGAGGAATGTCAGACGTATGTCACTGGCTGCTGAATATGCCGATTTTATCATTAACTCCGCTTTCGGAGTGTACTGCACTGAAGCTGGGCAGGACCATCCCTCACATCTCAGTCTGCCGTGGTTTTCCATGCGCCACCAACCACTCCTGGTCACCCTTGAAATGGACACATGGAATAATATCCCGTGCAGGCTTTGTGGATCCGGCATCCTGAAGATATCACACAGTATATTCCCTATTACCCCGCCCTCTCCCCGGCCTGTATTCTTTCGCCTCTGCGGGTGGCCTCTGACCTGGCGCTGTTACTGGTCTCTGATCCAAACATGTTTACAGAATACATCTTTGGAACTCGGTGGATCGAGGATCCGCCAGTTCAGAGGGAGTTCATACATCGCCTACATTCTGAACGTCGACATAACTCGCCCTCACCGAATAATTGCCTACCCCAGAGGCTACTCTCCTTCACAAAGTAGAAGAAGAAGAAGGTCCTGCCGCCTTTTTTTCCTGCTCGTAACCGCAGAGAAGACGCAAATTTGGGCTGTGGCAATATTCGGCATTTCCTTCGAGAAAAAGAGATAGAGGAAGGACGACGAAGATGCACAGGGACTTCCTGAGTTCCAGGAAGAGAGTTGCGGAGTGGCTCGCCGCAGGGCCAGTGTGCCCGAGTGTTCACAGGGTCGCCCCCGCCAGGAAACGCCACGCCGCAGAGTCACGCAGCCACCGACTGAGGCTGACTGTCCCGACGAGCGAGCCCGCACTCAGCCACTGCGGATTGTTCCTACGGGATAGCTCTTCTCGCCATGGCGACGTGTCATCCTCAGGCAATTCCCCCACGGGGGAATCGTATACGTCCGGAGTGCAGTTGAGGTAATCACCCTACTGACGCGAAGGTCCATGTCACATGGAAGATCCCCCTTTCCTACAATAGAGATTCAGGCCCCACTGCACAGCAGATGCGCGGGCTTGAACCAGACTCGGAACTGAATATACCACTTGTGTGACAGCAGTAAATCGGCGAAATGATATAGAACTCAAAGCTTATATAGTAAAACTACAGATGTTCTAGAATGTTCTAGCAGAGACTATTGTAGTGTGCACATGATTGGGATGTTCTGAGGTTTCTAAGGTGTATTCTTCAACCTGAAAAATATATTGTTTCAACACTCCCACTTAATTGAACGGTTGAGAAACTGTAGGTATTCATTGACAGACGAAGAGTCTCAAATCGTCCACGAGGAAGTGGTTTTGTAAGTAGGTCGGCAATCATCTCTTCAGTCGGACAGTAGTGTAGACTAATGATATCTTATTCCACTGCTTCACGCACGTAATGGTACCGAATATCAATGTGTGAAACTGGATTGGATCAGCAAGGTTACTTGCAAGTGCATCTTCTATGCTCCTTGGCTCATCAGTTTGACTTTTATCCAGCCCTACAGAGACTACATCAGCATATTCGTCGATTCCATATCGGACTGGTACATGTCTTCGCCGCTCAGGGTAGCGATGCTCTTCTTTCCTTTCATATTCCCCACCATTGTCTGTGCACATTCGTTGACCACTATCAGTTGTTGTGGCTGCTTCAAATTCTTTGCACCTCTGACTTGTGTCGCATGAAGTAAACACTGCAGCATCGAGAGTAGTCATCAATGAAGGTGACGAAATCTTTTCTTCCTCCAATTGACTCAGTGGGCATTGGCCCACACACGTCGCTATGCACACACTGCAGCTTTCTTTTAGAGCGAATCACTCCCACTGGCTTGAAAGGTTTCCTTTGCATTTTTCCTTCCACGCAGCCTTTGCAGAAAGATAGCTCAACTCTCTTTGGGATCTTCACTCCAGACACTAGTTCATGCGTGACTCTTTCCTTGAGTACTGATTCACTCGGATGGCCTAGCCTCTGATGCCAGAGGTCAACGTTTGCGTTTTCGGAAGCAACTGAGGCATGCTCCTGTAAAACCGGCTCACAATTCAACTGATACATCTTGTTTTGTAATGTCCCCATACCACAAACATTGCCCCTGCTGTGTCTAATCCAGCATTTCGTAGCAGAAAATCGCAACTCCTTGTACTCTTGTAACAGTTCCCGCTTGCAGGTCATGTGACTAGATGCTCCAGAGTCCACCAGCCATCCTGTCGTCCCGTGCAACTTTTAGAACGCTCCAGTGCTCTGGTCTGGCTCGGAGTGTGTGTGGCTTTCTTCTGTAACTGGTTTGTCAGTATGAGGGTTGCTGGACTCCCTTCTTTTGGGGCAGTCTCGTCGAAAGTGTCCTTCACCACCACAACCATAGCATCGCAACCTCCTTCCTCTCCCCTGTCTTCCAACCAGTGCTGATTGCTGTCGTCCACTCTTCCCTCCACCAACTGGTAAGTTTCCTGGACCTACGCTCTTCTTCCGCTCCTCGTGAATGACAGCCTGTTGAACGTAACTCAGCGACACATTGTCCACGTGTGCCTCAAGGCCTGTCACCAAGGTGGAGTAACTGTGTGGAACACTTCCCAGCAGTGTTACGACTTGGTCTTCCTCGGAGATCGGGGCACCGTTCGCCGCAAGTTTATCGGTAAGCTCTTTCATACTCTTCAAATGAACTTCCACGGACGTGCCCTCTTTCATCTCCATATGTTTCTTCAGCATGAGTTTGTTCGCCAGCGTGTCTCGCTCGAAATGATTGCGAAGGGCATCCCAGGTGTCCTTTGGCTGCTCAAACGAGGTGATCAGGTACAGCTGAGAGGAGCGAATCACCATAACGATCGTGGAGAACTCCTTTTGTGACTTCTTTTGAAACTCGGCTCGTACCAGGGCCGTTGCGTCCTCTCCGACAGCTTCCGGACCCATCCAAATACCCCCACACTCCCTTCACCAACAGCAGATGCTGCTTCCATGTGGTCCAGTTCGAATCATCCAGCTTATATTTTTCATCTGTGGCTTCCGCCATCCCTCGGCTGCGCACGGTGGGCTCTCCCGGTAATAAGCTGTATCACGGACAACCAGTGAGAGTGGTGCAGTTCTCAACTCCGCAGTCTCTTTCTTAGTTCATCAGCGATGTCTGGGCCCATAACCTGTTAGCAGATGCGCGGGCTTGAACCAGACTCGGAACGGAATATACCACTTGTGTGACAGCAGTAAATGGGTGAAATGATATAGAACTCAAAGGCTTATATAGTAAAACTACAGATGTTCTAGAATGTTCTAGTAGAGACTATTGTAGTGTGCACATGATTGGGATGTTCTGAGGTTTCTAAGGTGTATTCTTCAACCTGAAAATTACATTGTTTCAACAGGGGATTCCTGTAGCAACCCTGCGGACACATAAGGGGAAGTGCAGGAGATCAAGACTCCTTTCTGGAGAAGCCCACTACATCTCCAGGGGATTGGACGAAGGATCGTCCAGAGCTCAGTCGAGGTAATAACCCGGCTGCTGCTGAGGGCCATAAAACAGGAAGGTACCTTCCCTATTAGGGACTCAGAGCCCTCCGTGGAGAAGAGAACCCGGAGCAAGGGGAAATCAAAGAGGTCAAGATCCCCCTCTAAGGACCGGGGGAGACCCAACTGTAAGTCCAGCTCTCATACGAGCCAGAGCAGTGACAGCTCGTCTGACCTATCGTACTTTGACCCTGGGTCATTGGTCAAAAATAAGGAGGGCACATTCAAGCCCTCCAAGTCAATGGAACGATACCTGCAGAAGCACTTCAGGAGGTGCATCTCTAAGGAGGAATGGGACGCCGTAATTAAGGAGCACCCCTCCCAGACACTGACGCATGTACTCTGCCTAAAGTAGACTATCAGATTACCTCGGCCAACGCTTTCCTAAGAGCCAGGAGGCGAAACTCAGTAAGATCCAGCTTGCAGTCTTAGCCATAGCACTCCCAGTGCTGTCCGCCTGGCAGGGGTTGATTGAGAGTGGGCTTGGTGAGAAGCCAGAGATGTATGTCCCAGCTGCAGACGTGCTTGAGAAGGAGACTGCTCTCTCAAAAGCAGTTGCTATGACTAGGAAGGCACCCATACTAGATCCACCTCCTACTTCTGGTGAGACCGGCAACATACCTCACAGTTTTTTTCCGAGGGGCCCTCCTGCTGCGTATGGGAGCAGAAACCAATACCATACAACCAGTGCCATATGTTCGGCAGGGGAGGGTCCCAGCCTCGGGGAGGAGGCAGCTATCCTCCCAGCCCTAGTGGTTCGGCCAAAAGCCTCAATTCCACGAGCCACACCTGCCTGCAAATCTCCAAACCCTAACATGGGAGATAATGGCCCGGATCAAAACCCTTCCCCAACTCATACCAGCGCAAGTATCCCTTCGACTGGGGCTCAGTAGAGAGGGAAGCCACGCGCCCAGTGGGCGGAAGGCTGGTCCACAATTGGAGGCAGGTAACCAATGACCCGTCCTCCAGTTCCTAACCACACCCCCCATTCCACCACCTTCTCCCCGATTCGGCCAAGACACTGCGCATATTCTGATAAGCGGAGTGCAGGACCTGAAGGCCAAAGGTGCGATATCCAGGGTGCCGGAGGAGGGCACTGGGTTTGTCAGCCCAATGTTCTTGGTCCCCAAGTCAGACGGGTCGTGGTGACCGGTGGTAAACCTCAAGGCCCTCAACAGATACGTTGTTGCACAGCAGTTCAAGATAGAATCATTTCGGAGAGTGAAAGGCCTCATCAAACAGGGGGACTGACTACTAAAGCTAGATCTGAAGGACGCCTATCTCTCGGTCCCAATCCATCGAGACCACAGGAGGTACCCATTCGGCTTGAACAGTGCCCCCTGGACTTTCACGAAGCTCACGAAGCCAATTGTCTTAACATTACGTCGACTAGGGATACGAATGATTATCTATGTGCTCCTGATTGCAGACAGTGCTCAGGGCAGCACTCGAGATCCCAGTGGCACTGGGATTCGTTATCAACATGAAGAAGAGTGTATTTTAACCAACCCAGAGGTTGGACTTCCTGGGGTTTGTCATCGACGCCCAGGAGATGGTAATAACACTTCCTCGCCAGAGACTCCACTCCCTGCGGTCACTAGCAAGGAGTACCTCGAACTCAAGGCGGCCTTCCTGGCACTGAGGACATTCTTGCCACGCCAAGGGCCTTTGACAGTACTCCTCAGAATGGACAATGTCATGGCTATTGCCTTTCTGAACCGCATGGGGGGCACCCACTCTCTACCCCTCTCGGTACGTGGAGATATGGGAGTGGTGCATACAAAGGAAATTCACTATCCATGCGGGACACCTCCCAGGGGTGAAGAACATAAGAGTAGACTGGCTGTCATGCCACCTGATGGACTGGAGTGACTGGAGACTGAAAATGGATGTGTTTCTGGAGCTGGCCGCATTGCGTGTGTCAGGAGATCATATGATGCTGTCGGACTTTCACAGGGAGTTATCTCAGTGCGACTGAATCAACTTACTCAGCTGCCTGGCGGCAGTGGGATAGCTGGTGTATCCACTTTCTGTTGATCCACTTTCTGCTCCTTTAAGTAGCATCCTTGAATGCCTCTATGAGCAGTTCCAGGATGGGAAGCAGGACCGCACATACTATCCGTTCTGCTATATCAATGACTCACACAGAGCTTCATGGGTTCAGGGTTGGTCAGCATCCTCTTGTGTCCGTTTCCTCTTTATCTCCCGGCTCCGATGCCCAGGTACACCTTCACCTGGGATGTTGACATTGTCCTGTCTTTTCTGGAGACTCAACCAGACAATGAGGCCCTGTCCTTCCACTTCTTGACAAATAAGGTGTTATCCAATGCTGACAGATGCTTTGATCTCGCGGCCTTGGATCAGGTTGTTCCAGTTTACAATTCCAGGGCTGACAAAGTCGAGGAGGGATAGTCCCCCAATAGTGGTCTTTTACTCAGAATTTCCCAAGAAACCAAAACTATGCCCTGTCAGAGCCTTAAAGTGTTATGAGAGGAGGTCGAAGGATTTCAGACAAGGTGAAGGGAAGAGAAACCCCCTCTTAATTGCTACTCGTCGTCTAGGCTCAAGACAGTAATGGCCCAGGCGGGTATCAACACACAACAGTTTACTGCTCATTCAACTAGAGGGGCCTCGACCTCAAAGGCCAAGTCGTCTGGGGTGTCTACCTCAGATATCCTGAGGACAACCAACTGGTCATCTAGTACTACATTTACCTGGTTCTACCATAGACCGGTGCAGATGGGCCAGTTCGGGCGCCGGGTCCTGACTCTCAGACCGGCATCATCAGCTGGTGGGCTTTGAACCATATAGTAATATAAACTGACTATGTTGTCAGAATGTATCCGGACCTCTGAAATACAATTTCAGATTCCTCAAGGATTCGAAGAATCCGACGAGGATTAATTGTATGAGGAGGGAAATATACATGAAGACAACCCACCCTTGACCTTCTCACTTTACAGAGGAAGTATACAGACCACAAAAGGAGGTCTGGAGGAGAGAAATACCCTGATGGAGTCATCCCATATAATAAACATTCTCATTTATCATATCTCATGTGTCTTGTAGCAGTTGGTATATATCAAGTGGGAGCTGTTTGCTTTGTGGACATAGTGATTTATGTAACAGCAATTCCTATGGTGTGGATAAGGTGTTGTGTAGTGAGGCGGTTGCTCGCAGTACAAAGCGAGAGGACCACGTGAGGTGCTCACTTATTCTCTATAGCGTACTTTGAACTCTGCTAGATGAGTAGGAGAAATTGGGCAATATACCTATATACTGTCGTCATGTATCCTTCCCTCCTCGTACAATTTATCCTCCTCATCTGATTCTTCGAATCCTTGAGGAATCTGAAATTCTTCATTTCTTTTTATCCTCTGAGTAACACGCCTGTTTTTCCTTATTGGTAATTTCCCATTCTCTGAGCATTTTTAGCATACATGCCTGCTGACTCTGGTTCTTCTTCGTACACGGAATACTTAAATACTTTGGGAGAATTGGAGGGATTCAATCACTGTGATAATGTTTTGTTGTTGGTGATTTTAATGTTGATTTTGATCGTTCCAGTCCTTGTCCCAAATTGTTGTGTGAGTTTATGTCTAATCTTGGTCTGGTTTCTCTGGTGATCTTTCTTTCCGTGATGAGGTCATGAGCATGATGACGGTCTCTGCCATTCTTGGGTCGATCATATTTTATGTTCTCAGCCTTCTTGTTCTTTAGTATCCGGTATAATATACGCATGCCAGATTGCGAGTTCGGGTTTTGGCTCGGTGCTGGCTTTGACCAGCAGGAGTGGGGAGGGGCCTAGGCTCCAAACCACGAATGTCTGGGCATGGTCACCAGCACATACCAGTGGCAAAGCCTTGTGGGGATGAATCTCATTAGTTCAGAACCAGTGCTGCGCTCCTGGTAGCCTTTGTAAACTTGTGATGCCAGTGAGAGAAGTTGCGGTATGCTCTGCTGATGAGCCCGAAACAGCTGTCTAGAGCTCCGCATCTTTTTTCTGTTGGCATCACATGGTGTAATACCTTCATGCAATTCATTCTGGTTGTGACCACTTCCCACTATTTTTCTCAATAAAAACTCCAGTTCCAAATAGTCAGTCATTCTCTCCTAATCCATTGCAGCGTGTCGATTGGTCGAGAATCACACCTTCTCGTATTGAGAAGTATTGCTTAATGGTCTCTGTGCATATCCCCACCTTACCATCTCCAAGTCTTGGAATGCTCATCGCCCTCCTGTACTGCTCATCGTTCTGTATTGGCTCTCATCTCATCACTACCTTGCTTATGTGTGCTCTCGCTTGTTTTCCTACTCGCTCAGCCTCCACCACTCGTAGAAGACTTGTTGGTTGGACTCAGTCAGTCAATAGATTGAAAGTATCAGCAATGTTCTGGTACAAGATCTGGGAGGAGTCTGGTTGCCGTCTTCTGGTGTCTTATCAGAAAAATAATATAAAGAGAAGGTAGCTATAAGTATGAGGTTCGTCGTCTTATACGCAGGCAAAATTCTTGCTTACTCTTTTGCCAAGAATAGAATGTCCTCGTTTTGGTCTGATGTAAGAAAACCTTCCACGCATAGAGAGGAAACTTGGTATGTATGCCTATTATATCATTTCCATGACGATTACATGTTTCCAGGCAAAACTATTTCTTCACTCCTCAAACTTGCTAACTGTAGCAGGCATGGAGGTGGAACTTGGTGCGCATATGTATTACATCGTTTCCATCACGACCACAACAACAAATAGCCTCAGGCACTTTTCTTTAAAAATACTTCTTCGCTCCTCAAACTCGCTAACTGTAGCACGTATGGAGGTGAAACATGGTACGCATGTGTATTACATCGTTTCCATCACGACCACAACAACAAATAGCCTCAGGCACTTTTCTTTAAAAATACTTCTTCGCTCCTCAAACTCGCTAACTGTAGCACGTATGGAGGTGAAACATGGTACGCATGTGTATTACATCGTTTTTCCATGATGACCACAACAACAAAAAGCATCAGGAACTTAATTTTACTTCGTCACTCCTCAAACTCGCTAACGGTACCACGCATGGAGATGAAACTTGGTACGCACTGCGTTTTCCACTTTGTTCGAACAACAACAAATAGCCTCATGCAGGCAATTTTCTTAAAATTTACTTCTTCACTTCTCAAACTCGCTAAAGGTAGCACACATGGAGATGAAACTTGGTACGCACTGCGTATTACCATGACGACAACAGGCATTTTTCACTATCATTTTTATAGGGGGGATATATAGTATATAAAAATGAGTGGAGAGAAGTTAAAAGAGGTATATAATGGAGACAAGATAGGGATGCAGATTTAAGCACGCTACACCCCCAACCCCATCACACAATCCCTATTATTGTTGCCTAGGTGAAGTATTAAACATTCACCATTACAATACTCAGAACTGTACTGAGTAACCAACACCGTTATAGAGTCCAAGTGTAGTTTAATTAAAGGGAATGTGGCAGTAAAAACAGCAGGGACAAGGTAAAAGAATGCTTCCTCTTAGTAACCTTTAGCCCTTATATTCCCTATAAGAGTAGCACACCAGGCAACAATATAGGGATTGTGTGATGGGGTTGGTGTCAAATCTGTTCATTAACCATGCTCCCTTTCTTTTTATACGATCCCTATAGGTTTAATTAAGAACGCAGAGAAGTGAAAAAATCAGGATAAACGTAGATCAGTGAAAAACGAGGGCAAATCAATAGATGGTGGAAGGTCAACTCTCGGTCTCAGCCATGGCAGTACGACGCACCACGTGGTTCACGGCTTGCCATACGCGCGCAGAAGTTAGTGACTCATCGCCGACGCCTATATAGAGAAGTCGACGTCGTCGTTATTGCGCAGAGGCCGACATTTAGAACGTGAGGTCGACGTCTATCTTGCCACACGGAACTTCCTAGACCCCACCCACCAACCTTTTGGATTTGGGCACGTGTAACTCGTAAATCCCGACCTCTCTCATGCTCAGCCAATTAAACGCAGCTCTTCGGTGTTTTTCCATGTAACATGGCTAATTTTGTCCCTCTCTCTGAGCAACAGGAGGCCGATGAAGCGACCGAATCAAAACCGACGACGCAAAAGGTATGGTAGTCCCACTCACACCCTTCAAAGTATATTAGCGGGTACGGTAGAACACGTCCACGTACGACCTAGTTAGAGGTGTGTAAAACTAGTGAGTGTGTACGATTGTATAATTGTTGCCTGGTTGTTTTATATTTCTCCCCTTTCCTATTTAGCGAGTATGGTAGTAGAGGGATAGGACTAATTGTTTTTGTTCTGTTAACGCACTGCACATTCATGTTATGTATCTGTGAAAACAAAGTGGAAATGCTCTGAAAACAGTGGAACAGTGCCAACCTGCAAAAACGTAGAAGTATGTGTGAATATGTAATATAAATATTCTGGATAAACGTCGAAAATGTGTACAAAGTGTGGAAATGCTCATAAAATACAGTTGAACGCAAAATAATGGTGCCAATGCTCAAATTCGATTTTCAATTAACGCTCACCCACAATTCCAGTTGGTGCCCACCTAATAAACGTGTGAAAGCGGTGAATTTGGAATATGAACATAGAAGCCGTGTATATGAGATGGAGAACAGTAAAAAATGTGATCAAAAGCCAATAAGAAAAGACGATGCAAATGCAAAAAAACGCAAACGCAAAACCACGGTGCCAATGTGTTTCCTCCCCTGCTCTATTTTCTCAATGGAATGGAAAAGCATTGCGTGGCTTCTCTGGTAGGGTGTCATAATGGGCAATGACTCTTTTAATTTCCGGTGCAGCTAGGGAAAAGAGTTAGAATCACCAAATGTGGGTTTATTTTTGCGTAAGCGCTATTTTAAGACCGGACCGTATGGCGGTGAAGGACTGCTGGTCTTACATTCCCCCTCACAACGACGTACCGCTTTGGATCCCAAGACCCCACACCGTGCTTGACCGTCTATAGTGTCTCGCTTCGGCCATAACAACCAAGATGTGAACATGATGTCATAACAGGAGAAAAACAAAAGGTGTAAAAAACAGTGCAAGCATATTTTTGCTTTTTGTTGCTCACAGTACGAATGTTCATACACTTCATTTTCACAAGCATAGAACACTTATTGCAAGAAATCCCCCCAATCTGCTATATCCTTAGAATCATGGCAGTTGTCTTGTTCGGAACATATTGCACATGTATCAGTTTGTCTACTTTCCGGTTTCGATGCGTGATGGTTTTGTTATTGATTTGTGATGGTTTGTTTTCAAGGGCAATAAGTATTCTCCTCTTTTTAGTGGAATGAAAACATATTTGTGCTTCATATTTTGGATTGAGGATTTTCGTTTATTTGGACTTTGAGTTTTCCAGCAAATACTCATCTAATTTGTCACATAAACATTTGATATCATTACAGTTGTTGCACCAACTAAGTATTATTTGACAGTCTGTATTCTAAGTTCCTGAATTAACCCTCGGCGCGCATGCGCAGCGAGGGTTACTGTAGTTGGGTTTGTCTGTCTGTCTGTCTGGTACTCTCAATCTCACTTCTCGAGTGTTTGTTTGTGTCACAAAGGATACGATCTACTTAACGGGCAATGAAGGTCAGAAAATTTGTGGGTTTTTCTCTGAAAGTGCTCCGTTGCAAAGCTAGAGCGCTTCCAGCATTGTATGGCTGATGCCGGTAGTCGCCATTTTATCGCTGGCGGATACTGCGCATGCGCTTATATTTAGCACAGGCTTACCTTGACCGGGTCCTCTAGCTCTGTCTATCTCGAAGGCACAAGAAGTCAAAACGAATGGCGTGTATCGACTCTCGTGTGCTATCTACTACTGTAGCTAGCCCGTGTCAGACTCTCTGCGAGCTACTTCGCCGAGGATTTGCAGCTTTTCATTAACTCTGCATATGAATATGCTTACACACAGTTGTGTTAGTACCTGAATCATATGTGAACAAGTCAAGCAAAATTGACATTTCAGTTTGCAGTAACAAGATGATTGTTCTACTATATAAGTGGCTCTTGTACTCTCTGAACTGACGCTGTTTCACCTATGCTTTGTATGCTTGCAAGTACAGAGTGCTCTTTGTGTCTTTTGTGTATATTACAGATCCTGTGAGAGTTTTTGGAGTTGCTCAAAAGCCTTATTATGAGTCTACCCGTTTGTTTTGCTTATGGTGCAAATACACTCTTTTAAGAACACAGTAGAATGCTTCAGAATACATATTGGTATTCATAAGCGTCCCGATTCTGTAGCTAATGGCCCGTATGTTTGAAAGTAATCGAGGAATGAAGGACAATTGCTATTAATAATTTTATGATTTGTTAAGTTCATGCTATTTTAGTAAACATACCCACTATCTGGCATTGTTACATGCACATAGAGATTATGGGGAGTGGATGACATATTCAGTTGTTTTCTTATGGTGGGCTTGACACAGCTGTAGTTGAAACCTGAAACTGTTAAAATCTTAACCTTGACAAACGATAATATAATGTTATCTCCTCCTCCATTGCATCCGTGAAAACATCATAGTTGCATCCATTGACCTCCCATGCTTCCATTATGTAAGCAAGCTATCTTTTGACATGGCTGATAGTTGATCACTAAGACAAGTAAATTAAAAGGGGCATATAGGGACGGTGTAAAAAGAAAGGGAGACAAGATAGGGATGGGATACATAAAGCATGGTGATTTTGAGAATGCTGACACCCCAACCTCATTAAAAATCCCTATATTTTTTCCTGTGTGTGTGTCTGTCTGTCTGTCTGTCTGTCCGCACCCGAACTCCCTTCACAAGCCATGAATCGCTCTACAAACAATGCAACGTGTTCAGCGTCGGGTATACGTCGGGTTTTTTCTGAAACTGCTGCGTTCGGGAGTTACACTGAAAACCAAGTGAACGAGGCAATATGCAAATTAGTATTGGCTTACCTTGAGATGCACGCTCTCTAGCACCGTAATGCGCTTGCTCTGCATAACTTGGAGGCACCAGAAGTTGCAATGCGGGGCGTGTATTGACTCTCGCATGTTATCTAGTAGTGTAGCTAGCCCGTTACTGACTCTCAGCGACCTGGTTGGAGACCACGAGTAGGTAAAATTGCCCAGCGCATAAATTAGCAGTACTACTTCGCGGTCGCGTGCTTTTCGTGCCTGATGCAACCTGTTCGCTCATGTGTCTAATCCCGTACCAAGCCTATTGTTGAGCAAAAACATGGCCGATGTACAGCGAAAGGTGTGCCTCACTTTGTAGCATGCTTACCTCATATGCAGCCTTTCACAGAAGACTGTGTATATAGGCGGTCTTCCTCAACTTTGCTTTGACATGGAACACTTCTCTAGCGAGCACGCCTGTCTCTGCCAACGGTTTGCACTTTAGTGGTTTTCATTGTTTTATGTGGTCGTCATGGAAACGATGTTATAAGCATGTGTACCAAGTTTCATCTCCATGTGTGGTACCGTTAGTAAATTTGAGAAGTGAAGAAGTAGGCTGAATCTATTTGTTGTTGTTCAAACAATGTGGTCGTCATGGAAACAGTGTGATACACATGCGTACTGAGTTTCATCTCCATGTGTGTTACCGTTAACAAGTTTGAGGATTGAAGAAGCGATTTTTTTTACAAACATGTAGTCGTCATGGAAACATGCAGTTGTCGTGGGTGTGATGTAATGCACTTGCATACCAAGTTTCATCTGTATTGTGTTTTTATACATAATTGTGAATGGCTCTGAGAAAACGACCCTTATCGCGCACGTAGTATTGTTTTAGTAGCGGCGGTTTTGCGGTGAACTATATAATTTACCGATTCCCGTTTTCCCCGTTTTCTAGTACATCTGTCCAGCATCTATAATCTGCGCAAGTTTGGCACACTAACTCGGTTCCATTCAGTAGTTATGGCCCTGGATATCTGCCAACTACCGTCACTCGCGCCGTTGTTACACGGAATTACAAGGAAAATGACACGGGAATAATCAAACCTTTTACGGAGTCACGTCAACAGGGGATTCCCTTTTACTACGTTTACCTATTGAATGCGTCCGGATGCATGCGTGTGCACAATGTTGTAACACGACTTGTTACGAGAATACGGAGGTTTAAATTTGACAACGGTTCTTCGACTTTAGACACGATTTTTCACGTTAGATGCAGCGGAATGACACTTGCGTTTGTGCTCATAACTTCGCAAAGGAACGGGCTGCGCGCCTGAAAGAAACGGCAAACTATAGAACATTTGTAGGACTTTCGGTCTAGCGGTAAAAAAATATTTCCCGAATTTGCGCCATAAAGGTCGTTTTCTCAGAGCCTGTCACCTATCACTAAGTACTGCAGTACTTAGTATATGGGGTTGGGCATGTTACCTAGCATCATATATGTATGGGGCTATGATATGGAGTTTTGTTCCTTATCTTCTTCTTCTTCAGATTGCATAACTCGCACAACTCAAAGAACGACATATAGTAATGAAATTTTCTTCCACCCCTTTATGCCTCTTTATTATAAGGAGAAAACTTTGCACAAAGTTTGGAATCCGTGACCTGGCGTGCAAGAGCATTCTCTGTAAACAATGTTGTTTACAACAAAAAACAACAAATATACAAAAATAGCCCCATTCCATACATTAGGATATAGACCTATGAAGTATGCTAACTATGTAGTTAATGCCTACACCCAGAATGATAAAACGTACACATATGTAACTCATAAGTATCAAACAAACAACCTCAGGCAATAAAAACTTGTAAATGATGTTTGTGCCAATGACTTGCTTATGGTGGGTCCTCTAACAATGAAATTTGGTACACTAATTAACAGTTCATTAAAACATGAAGAACAAGTTTGTAAACAATAACAAACAGCCTCAGGCAATAAAAACTTGTAAACTATAATATTATTGCCTGTAAATTGTTTTTTGTGGGTCCTCTAACAATGAAACTTGTACTTTGGTGGTGAAAGGAACCTGTCAACGACGACAAAGAGTCTGAGGCAATAAATACATGTTACTTTTATATTGGCATTATTCCCCAATGCATGTTCATGCAGTAAAAAAGGAAAGGAGAGAAGTAATAATAATTCTAAAAAGTGTGTAATGGAGGGATTGATGGG